CGCTCGCTCTCTCTCTCTCTCTCTCTCTCTCTCTCTCTCCTCTCCCCCCCCCACCTTGGGCGCCCGTCCGGATGAGAACTGGATCAGCTGCCGCGTGGTGGGCAGGAACTGAGTGACGCCCGTCCACGGACTGTGTGCCGTGGCGCCGTGCTCCAGGGACGGCTCCGGCGGCAGGTCAACAGAGTACTCGTCCTTGCCAGTCTGTAAAACAAAGGTCAGGTCAGGTCAACAGAGTACTCGTCCTTACCAGTCTGTGTAACACAGGTCAGGTCAGATCAGGTCAGGTCAACAGAGTACTCGTCCCTCGCAGTCTATATAACATAAGTCAGGTCCATAGATGTCTCGTCCTTGCCCGTCTGTATGTAAAGGTCAGGTCAGGTCAGATCCGATATGATTCACCGAGTAAGTGTACTTAGGTCAGTCACATTTTCATCACAAATTTAGAACAAAAAGCTATATTCGCTAAATATATCAGGTTCACGTGCCATATTCCTCAAGTAAATATGGTCGCTGACCACTGCAAAAGCCTACCCTCCGGACTGGCCCCATGACCTGACCTTGAAGTGGGTCCGGGTCATGAGCAGCATCCGTCCGACCAGGTCGGTGGTGGAGACACCCCGCGTGCGCTGACACTCCCTGAAACGGGGGGGACGAGTTATTGAAGCGGGGAGGGGGGACCCAGCGTACGCTGACACTCCCTGAAACGGGCGGGACGAGTTATTGGAGCGGGGGGGGGCCTCGTGTACGCTGACACTCCCTGAAACGGGGGGACGAGTTAATGGAGCGGGGGGGATGCCTCGTGTGCGCTGACACTCCCTGAAACGTGCGGGGACCGAGGGAGTTAATGGAGCGAGGGGGCCGAAACCCCCCCCCCCCCCCCCCGAAATAAACAGCGGCGGCGACGGAATCAACAGAAAAGATGGTCGAGTATAGAGCTGATAGACTGCACTTGCTGACCTTTCATGTAAGACTAAACATACGGCGAACGTAAACAGAAACCAGTCGTCTTCCTACTTATTTATTCCTACTAGTACTAGTTCAAATTCCTACTAGTTCAAACAATTTCCTTGTGGTGTAGAAAATTCATTTATTTCAAACTCATTCTCGAACAAGTGTCAGAGTACTGTGGAGTGTGGAGCTTTTTCTGACATTTTTGTAGCTCTAAAATGGATTAAATGTTTCATCATAATAAACACAATTATGAATTTCTAGTGCGGTCATTGTTGGACGACACTCGTCATAATACAGATATAATCGACCAATTAATCACCCTGTGTTTAGTGATACTTTGCAAATAAATAGCCAGCAGCTTATCATAGATTCCGCCGAATGACTCAGTGTCATGTTTCGTAGACATAATATTTAACGTTGGGCGAAACTGCCTCGCGAGTGGATCGTCAATAAATATAGGACCAACTGCAAACAATATTTTCCGTGATACACAGAGAAATAGCACCGAAGATCGTGTTCCAGTTAGCTCAACATCATTCCGTGACCCTGTTAGGTCAGAATCTGAACCACCTCCATACCCCTGCAATATCCCTGAAAATAGATGAAAATTATGAAATACTTTTCAAGGCGGAAAATGTTTGCTAGTTTAATGCAGTACATAGACGCTTTGTGTAATTTTAACACTAAAATCGCTCCTTCATACTCTCTGCCCCGTCACATTTGAAGCGTAGTTCGAGGGACCCGTCCTCGCTGAAACCCTGCAATCTGCACTGACAGCTCTAAATCCGCCACTATCAGCACAAACCTTTGTACTGCTGCTGTGTACTCAGTGCTTACCGCGACACGTGCCACCCCCTCCCTGTGGAGGCCCCCAGAGTATCGGTCTTTGGACCGGCATCACGCCACTGACAACCATCCCCGCCCCCTCCACCTCCTTCAACGCTCTCGGGACACCTATCGAGTGATACCGGGTTTTTGACATGCAACTCCCCCCTCCCTTACCCCACTCTTCAGCGCCCCAAGGCCAGTTGAGTGGCACCAAGATTTCGGACCTGCAACTACCCTCCCCTCCCCGCCCGAGGCAGAGTTACCCGCGGCGTCCTGGCTGTGCCCAGGAGTGGGGGAATGACCCGGCCGATGCTCCAATTGTTTAGACCGGACAGTCAGCTGGCCGAGACGGTGACCTTGAGGTGTGACATCATGTCACGTGGGCAGGCGTACTTTGGCATTGTCTATCGACGGTCCTTTATTACCGAGTTGAAAATGGCCCGATGATGTTTACCGTTCGTGAATCTACTGCACGTGCTTTGCAATCCCTGCTAGTGAAAAAGCAGCATTGATGCAATATAATGAAGAGTTTTATCATATAAGGTTTAGCAAAGCAAACCATTCTAAATCATATGAAAAAATCTCATATCAACTACAACAAATAATCGTTGAGCTACAAAAAAGCGAAAAATATATGAGCTGAGGCCTGGGGTACACTATATATGTATGTACACATTACACAAATCATGCATTTCGATATCGATGACTTTCGAGCTAATGCGAGCACCACCTATTGTGGGCAGTGCCAGGCAGAAGGTGCCAAGGCATGACCAACATCGTGTTCAACGAATAAACCACTTCGTTATCATTTTCTTGTTTGGCAAGGCAAGCCCAGCACGGTCATTTTTTATCCTTAGCACTGCTCTTGATTAGATGTGGATTTAGAGCTGTAGGTAGATGTTCTGATTACAAAATGCGCTTGGCCGCAAATACTCGTAACACTTCCACATAAAATCGGTCACAAAAGGCGAAGAGAGCACTTAACCTCGCACGGGAACCGAACCCAGATAGCTGTCTTACAGCGAGTAGCGTTAACTTTACTCACTTGTATCGGTTGGCCGCCTTGACGATGTGGTAGGTGTCGACTCCCTCGGCAGTCATCGTAATGTCATCTGTCGGACAGTTAAGGGGGAAGGGTCAATAAGCCAGGGTGTAAGCAATAAACTAACGTAGCGAATAGTGCATATGGGATTTGGCAGGACTGGCTGAGGCTCAGATACAGTAACCGGCTGGTAAATGGAAAATGATTTGTAAACAGAAATAAATATCCACATTTTAACACATTTGTGCACATTATAAATATCCACATTCCCGGAAATAGGTTAAATAGGTAATATATCGAAACATTTGTGAATGCTTGTAATTGTCATCAATATACAATATACAATATACATGCTATCATTGCGCCCATGTACTAGAGCGCAAAACACAGCTGGGTGCACGCATTTATTTGGCTATTTCAGCTCAGGATATCAACACACAATGAACATCAGCTGCCACAATTTCCCTTCCAGATCAATATTCAAAATGTGACGAACCGCTGTAAAGCGGATGTGATTTCATACCGATGATTCAGCTCAGTGATATCTGCACAGCAATGCACCGCTACCGACGCCCCTAATACCCCGATAGTAGACCAACAATCCCCGATTAACAGGCAGTCACGGACAGTGACGGATTACATCGCAGATATAGATAAACTGAGCTAGCATCGACAGTGAGCCTCACCAGATTCAGTCGGAGATATTCATTTATTTATTGAGCACAGTTCAAATGAAGGCTGCGCGAGCGCACTCACGGCTAAATTCCTCCTATGAAACGCTCTTCAGACATTATCTACCGTTGAGTTGGCGGCCATTTAGGATTATTCCGAATAGCCAAACAAACTCAAAACCGCTTTCGTTTTAAAACAGCGACCAAGGCTTTGACGAGCATTTCATAGCATGACAAAATGGTTGACTACTTTTTCATAGGTACGAGCGAAACGGGCAACAAATACATAATGCAATACGTAAAGTTGTGAAGTCTTCCCATCGCTGTAAGTATAAAAATGTCAACAAAAAAAGAACAAAATGCAACTCTGTTTAGCATGTCTGTGAATGGGGAAAACAGAAAAGGCTCGTTCAAAAACCCTATCAATCACCCAATCAACATCTTACGCAAATTTCCTCCAGAGAGGAAAAATTACGCTTGTCAAAATTTCAGAACGCGCTCAACGTCCACAATGCATCCATATAAACGTGCCCTAGTTCACATCCCACCTCCAGGTTTATCCACACAAACGTGCCCTAGTTCACAGCCTACCTCCAGATTTATCCACACAAACGTGCCCTAGTTCACAGCCCACCTCCAGATTTATCCACACAAACGTGCCCTAGTTCACAGCCCACCTCCAGGTTTAGCCATACAAACGTGCCCTAGTTCACAGCCCACCTCCAGATTTATCCACACAAACGTGCCCTAGTTCACAGCCCACCTCCAGGTTTAGCCATACAAACGTGCCCTAGTTCACAGCCTACCTCCAGGTTTAGCCATACAAACGTGCCCTAGTTCACACCCTACCTCCAGGTTTAGCCATACAAACGTGCCCTAGTTCACAGCCTACCTCCAGGTTTAGCCACACAAACGTGCCCTAGTTGGTGCCCTACCTCCGTGTACGCAGAAGTCACACCCGTACTTGTCCAGTGTCTCCAGTGTGGTAACATAAGGGGCCGCTTCCACTACCTCGTCCACCCATTTGATGGCGCGCACCATTTTGTACCTGGTGACACGGTGGAAGGTGGGTCAGGACGTGGTTAGGGAGAAATACCGTCACATATTTCTACCTAACGGCATTTCATAATGTTGTGACGGTATTTCATGCCACCCCGGGGGCGGGGGGCATGAAATACCGTCGCATCATCTCATAGTTACAAACACCATGGCGATATAAGGATAAAACACCGCTACGGCACATAAATAATACATGTGATGCAGTGCGCTACTCGTTTCACTCTAAAGGGCTACCGGAAACATGCACCAGTTCACAACATCCACTTGAGTTTATGCTTTATAGATTTAAAACTCATCGCCCCCAGACAAATATCATGATTGGGGTCACACATAGCTTATTAATGGGAATGTATAAGTTTATAAGTGACTTGGTTTCGTTTCTGCTAAACACAATCCTTCATCCGGAAGAAAAACAAGCACTCAAGACTTGCCTCTAAAAAACCTCACCATTCGCCCCTCCCTCACCTGCGCTTACTGCCATCTCCCGGTGGATCACTGACCGTTCCTCCTCGGTGAACACGGGCGGCCCCTTGTGCTCAGTGACCTCGGCGTCACTGTGCACCCCCACCATCAGGTAGTCGCCCATGGCTTTGGCCTGGCGTAGCGAGTTGGCGTGACCAAAGTGCACCATGTCGTAGCTGTGGAAGAATAGCTTGTTCACATCCATAGGTCGCAAGGGGATCGCAATTTATGAGATATAAGTATTCATTGCTGCGATTTATGAGTGAAAACATATGCGTCAGAAACGGCTCTCGCGTACGATTTTCTGATTGCCGAAAATACGATTTTCTGATAAAAGTATATTCCAACCATAGACAAGTTGCTGATTTAGGGCGTGTACGCAGTCTCCTCGGGCGAGAAACCAGTTGCGTCGTCCGGCCAATCCCGTTCGATAACCGCAGCCCAGCCCCCGCCGACCTCGAACGGTCCGACAACGCCGGACATTGACCGGACAACGTAGGAAATTCGTCGTCCCGGAGACTCCGAACCCGGGGCTAGTCTACACTGGCTGAAGCCTGAAACCGCACAGATAGCGAGCCGCGAACTAAAACCACCAAGACAGCCGACCACCGTGGTTGGTTCTCCTGAGAGCTGCTAACTAACGCCCCAGCGTCTGTCGAGCTCGAACCAGAGACCGGCTTACTGGAACCGGTGGGCTGGGACAGGGGTCAGTGGGCTGGGACGGGGGACGGTGGGCTGGGACAGGGGACGGTGGGTGGGGACAGGGGACGGTGGGCGGGGACGGTGGGCTGTGGGCTGGGACAGGGGACGGTGGGCGGGGGTCTGTGGGCTGGGACAGGGGAAGGTGGGCTGGGACAGGGGACGGCCATCAGACGAGGGAAGTGATCAGCGGTTCAGACCATCAATCAAAGGCCAGTGGGGATATTGCGCAGTAAGATGGCGCCAGTTAAAAAAAAAAACTGAACAAACAATTTACCTACTGCCTACTGGGATTGAATGCCCTTGGTGACATTCACCAATCACCAGGGTAACCACAGGAGTGAATCACCAATGTTATAGAAAAATGTTACCAAAAGATGAATACACAGCCACCACCTCCTCCAATAGTGATACGTTATCAATTAAGATTCTGATTAACTTAGGTCTTTGTCCCTTCACTTCTGGCTTAAAAAATAACACAAAATGTCATCCCGGAGACTAAAAGGAAAAACAAATACACAATGATTGATCAACTCTGTGGCGTGGCTAATGACAATTAGGTACTGAACAAAATTAACACAACAGTTTGGGAACACCTGCATCCTCCCAACTCCCACAGTCATCAGCGAATCACAAGCTGATGGCATGCCAGATATATTCATGCTTGGTTCACAGGACATGCTGATTGGCTAGTCAGCACACCACTAATTCTTAAATCAATGAGAATTGCACAGATGCTTACCAGCCATCGCACCACACCCGAACTTGCTTCTTCTCAGGTTTTTGTTCTGAGCCAGACATGATTACTGGTTAATGCCTGAAAAGAAGGCACCATTATTTAAAAAACAGCAAAATCAATGACTTGCACCATAGCAAACATATACCTAATTGTTCAAAGTTTATGACAGCAAAAAGGGGTTAAAGCCAGGCAGAGCAGTCAGCAGATTAAAATTTGATCAAATGTATGCCGATGAGCCCAATCTAAGTGTGGAGCCTTGCACATCTAGGTGTTCTAATTATTTCAAAGTAACTGGAAATTTAGTCTTCAGTTCCTTGTCAAACATTGCCTACCACACAGTGAGATGAGGGCTGTACCTGCACGGCAGGGAACATGCGTACCTAGGTACCCAAGATGATTAATGAGCCAGTTCAAGTAACAATACAAATAAAGTTAATAAAAATATAATCAAAATATGTAATTTAAATACAGAATTCTAGACCCCAAGATCAAGAAAACCATTTAATTTTGACCATTGGGTGCAAAAAGGCGATTTCACCAATTCCATCGAACACCGACACGACCCATCCAGGGTTTATACAAATCAGTAGGCGGAACTATGGTCATGAGTACCCAAATATAGGAACGTTCCCATTTTTGGGAACGGAGTTCCCAAATATGGGAACGGGCGTTCCCATTTATGAGAACGGAAGGCAATTTTTCGGCCGTTCTCCCACTAAAACTCAAAAGTGCATCACGTCTCAAAAAAGTGCACGCTGATTTAAGTATCTACTAAATCTCCATAAAGTTATCTTTAATCTGACCGTGGAACAAGGAAATTGACCGTGGAATGATATTTTTAATGATTTTTTGAAAATGACAGAATGGTGGAAATATGGGTTATACGACATTTAACATGCAATTTTAAGGAAAATGAAGCATATTTTAGTTTGAGGTAAAGTATAATAATTTTCGCCTGGTTATGAACTTTCATACTATCGACACCAGATGCTGACAAATGCAAGCGAAGACGCGGACGGTCCCGAGGTAATATTGTTGACTTTTGTGTCGGGGCGGACGACCGCGTGGAACGTAAGTGAATTTACCGAGCTACTGTTGTAAACTCAGTTTAAGCGGTTGAAAATTATCCAGCTGTATTTTATCATCCCGGAAAGACATATTTTATTTGGATGCTAGCTGTTTAGAGTTGTTTTATAAGGAGCGTCGTGAGCGTGGTTTTTGTCTTCCGTGTTTCTAAGCGTGATCGTTTTGGGGGAATTTCTCTTATATAGCTCGCTCTGTGTGGCTTATTTATAATTTTTATGCTGATTTCGATAATTCCTCGTGCCCATCCTACCAGGCCTTTTGCCACTTACACTCATCAAGAAAGGAAAAAACTAGATTTTCATTGGGACTAGGTGTTTTGAGGGTGTAACATATTCAGCGTTCCCATTTTTGGATACTTCCTTGCACTCGTCAACTATCGGTGATAAACAGACAGGTGCTTGACATGTCTCCACCCTCAGCGCGGACGGTGGATATAGGTATGGAAGACCTTGTTGAACATCGCTGAGCGTTGTGAATTACGTAATCCTGCAGAGGGGGGCGTGCCCGCTGCGAGATCGACGGGAATAAAAACGCAGAAGACTGGGCGAAACATGCGACGGTCTTGCCGGAAAGGTCATCTGATGATTGTTGCGTTAACAATAATTTGCGGCGTTGGACGTGATGCTTGTTAATGAAAAGAGCCCCTGAAAGGCGTCGGTGAAATCGTTCCCAATTTTGGGTACGCCGTTCCCATAATAAGGAACGCTTGCAGCGCCAGTGTACGAGAGCGTTCCCAAATTTGGGCTCGCGGCCCGGATGATGGACTGCTTTAGAAATAGAGGAACGATTTGAAACTACGATGGGCCTTACAATATCAAACTCTTTCCCAACAATATTGAGACAAATATCAGGCGGTTCACGATCGTTTTATATTTTTTTGACGTCATTTAACGGTTCTTTTTCTTGTTTTAAATAATGCCTACATGGCGTTCCCATATTTGGGTTTATCGTTCCCAAACATGGGAACGAAAATGCGTTCCCGAAAATGGGTACGCTTGACCATAGTTCCGCCTACTGAAATCAAGATTCCTATAAATAGGCAAGATAAGCCAAGATCATCTACATAAACCAATGTACATAAAAACACTTCCAACACAGCTCAGCAACTATCCAAGGCCACATATATAGCCAACCAATAGCCAACCAAGTAGCCAACTATCCACAACTATCGGTCCCCTGTGTCCAATATAGCCTTGTGTCCAATGTTGTAATAGGTCGCGACTTGAAGCAGTAATGAAACATGCTCATTAGGTCTAAAATACCTCGTTCTGTAATAGCTCTCTTACCCTTATGATCAGAAATCGATCGTCTTGTCCTTGTCGGTCTTGTCAAATGTCTGAAGCGCGCCAGATACATAGACAAGCAATAATCAAGTTTAAAAAATAAAATAAAATAGGAATTCAAAATATAGATTTGTATAATCTTGTATTGTTTTCCAGTTTTTTTAAATTTAAGCAGAAGATCCGCTTTTGATAGCTTTTGAGAGGACCAAAAGATACAAAAAATGTTTTTTGCGTCGATTTAGATGCCCATTTTTTATATCTATGTGCCCATTGCTAAAAGGTATATGTTCAAAATGCGAATGGTTCTGTTGAATAAATTTTTACCTTTCGAAAATGAGATTCTTAAGATTTAATTTTATTGAATTACCATTAAAATTGGTAATATCTGACAAAAACAGAATTGTATCAGGAAAGGCCTAGAAATATTTTATTAAATCTAAAAGGCGGCGCTGCCGAAACCTCCTTTCCTGTGAAATTACACAGATCGGTGCAAGATGGTGTGTAAACATTCTAATATTGTGTATTTGTAGTGATGAATAATGAACATGTTTTCAACAAATTGAACCTTCCTCTATCCTCTGTTGCTTGACTCGTGGTTTTTTGTTACAGGGCATCGATCTTTGTCATAAACACGACCGCAAAAGTCGGCGCACTGAGCCGAAGTCTCAGGATGTTTACCTTCGTCTGCTGGTTAAGGTAAGTGTTTTGTCTGCTGGGTTAAGTAAGTTTTATTGCTACAGAATTATTAAATTTGCACTTTGTAGTATATGCAGTTCTCGCTATGTTCCGGAAGTTGATCTATTTTTCAAGCATAAATTTTGCAGATTCTTACACTATTTGTCTTCCTGAATTCAAATATCAGTTGGTGACTTACCAGGGAAATAAGCTAGATTTGGAGTTTTCTATTTTATGATCCTTTGACAGCACTGCCTCCTATAGGGTCATGTACAAAGGAAAACCAGTGAAAACCAGTGAGGGTCTAGACCTTTACCTAACAAAAGACACGATTCATATTGCCAGAATCTACTTCTCAATGCTAAATGATATGGAAAATATCATGAATATGCTTAAATGGGCATTAACTTTCAATTTATCACAATAATGCCAACGGTATTTCCAACATCGAAATTACGCTACTGATGCCGTTTAGATGTTTACTTACACGCCATCTGTGCGAAGTGCAGCAGAACTGTAACGTTATAAAGTGATCTAGAATTCCAATAAAATAGGAAGAATAAATACATTGAAAATAAAATAGGTATGGCCTCATAAAACTAAAGCCTGATGCACAACCACTTAACCTAATAATATTTGACTTACCATTGCCAGTGATCTCTCCTAAGGCATTGCATTTGGCACTGCACTGCTACGCCCTGAGTACTGGGCAAAACATGTTTCTTTACAGTTTGTGCAGCATTTTAGTGCACTTTAATCTCTAATCTTATACATAATTGGTGCAGGCAAGGCTATCTATGGTGCATAAAGCCATGCTGTGTGTAGCTGCGGTATAACTAACACTGATACAGGAGAACCTATAAATATTGTTTTGGGGGTAAATTCATGGAATTTCAGCATTTTGAAGGCAATTGCTATGAAATCTGACAAGGAGAATACGATTTCAGTCATCAAAAAGTCATTCGGATCTGGTATGATCCAGATCCTGGCCCGAAAACCACTTGGACCGCCTGTAGATAAATTGTTCCACCTTAAAAGTTTTGTGATTGGTGGATAAATTAACAAGGAAAAGATTGGTCCTGAAATAGTGCTCAGCCCCAGTGGCGTACGCACATACAGGACATTCCGTGCATGCCCTGTCCCTTTGGCTCATCGTCCCCGGCGCCCTCAGTGACTGGCGCCCCTCTGTCCAGTGTTGGCGCTCCTCCATTCGATAGCGGCGCGCTTCTAGTTGATGGCGAAGCCCCTCTGTCCAGTATTGGCGCTCCTCTGGTGATAGTGGCGCCCTCCTAGACGATATGGTGGGCCGGTGGCGCCCCTTTGTCCAGTATTGGCGCCCCTCCAATCGATAGCGTCGCGCTCCTAGATGATGGTGGGTGGCGCCCCTCTGTCCAGTGTTGGCGCCCCTCCAGTCGATACCCTGGTCCTTCGCAAATTCCTGGGTACGCCACTGCTCAGCCCCCTGTACAACATACTGAAATATGACTCCAAACTATGAGGAAATGTAATCAACAAGACAATACAAATTAACTTACCAAGTGAATAAGTTTTCTACATCTCCGTATAAAATCAGCCTATTTTCTGAAACACTATCTTTTGTTTGATAAATATTTACAATATTCAATTGTGAGAAAAATATTTCTGCCTGAGCAGCAGGATGAGCGTTATTTTTAGCATATCAGGTGATATTTGGGGGATCTATTTTTGATGCTGTTGGCAAAAAAGGATCAATGTTAAGCTCATGTTTAGGACTGATTTCTTCATTTGAGAAACATTTTGTTCTTATTTTTTCCAGTGTATAATAACTTGTTAATGTATTGGCTTTTAGAACATTTAGGTTTATTTTTTCTATTTCTGATAGAAATGAGCAACAGGTTATTCTTCATCCTTCTAATAATCTTAGAACATCCCCATTAAACAAAATGAGTAAGCTTAGATACAACACCATAATACCAAGTGCCCTTCTTCGAACCTAACCTCTGATATAAAACGCCTGCTGACCGGCCCGTTCCTTCACGCAGCTGTACCGGTTCCTGGCGCGCCGCACGGGCGCCAAGTTCAACCGCATCATCCTGAAGCGTCTGTTCATGAGCAAGATCCACCGTCCGCCGATGTCGCTGGCGCGCATCATCCGCTTCATGAACAAGCCGGAGCGCGAGAACCGCATCGTGGTGGTGGTCGGCACCGTCACCAACGACGTGCGCATCTTCAAGGTGCCCAAGATGACGGTGAGTGCCACGACGAGAGGGGAGAAGGGACGGGTGGGAAGAGAGGAGGAGTGGGAAGAGGGAGGAAGAATGAGACAAGTGGGGAGGTGCTGGGTACGGGCGCGTAATGAATGACACTGCTGTCGACACACTTTAAAACGCTTACGTTTGTGGTTGGTAAAGAACCATCAGTCGGCGCACCCCTATAATTCCCTATGAAACAAGTAAACCTTACAAATGGAGCGCAGTGGGTACCCGGTAACCTCTTGACGTGCTGCACTGGAATGGGTTGTTGCACGGGTGGAGAATGTTTGAAAAGGTTACCCCGGCCGGCGACCGAAAGTCAGAAAGACGATGATGCTCAAATATTTGTCAACGGTTATCAACAAACCCCTATTCTGTGGCATAGAATAATGGATGTCTGTGTACGTTTTTAGGGAAAACTGGTGCACGCAGGTGCGGAAGATTTCGTAATTGTAACAACAATTTTGCAACACGCCTTAAAATTTCGGACGCATGTCACCTAGTGCTAGGTCAGGTCATCAGGTCAAATTTGCTGGATGATCGTTCTAAAAATGCCATCATGCCCTTTGCAAAGCTTATTCGGTGGAAGTTGCAATCTTCCCACACAAAACAAAATGTCAAATTTGACCGTTTTGACCCTCTTATTGATTTGAGCTCGCACCTGAAATATTATTCGCGACCGAGCCTTAAACGAGTAATCGAATGTTTTGTTTGCAGTATTTAAGCTCCGTTATGTTCATGAACTGTGAGAAAAGTTGTCGGAGAACGCTAAAATCAGAGAAATTTGGCTTTTGATGATCTATGATGATTGTATAATTGAGCTTGCCTAAAACATGACCAGATTTCTCTGGTCACGTTTGTCGCCCTTTCAAACGTCGTTCCGCTTCTCGCCTCGTAGCCCAGTAGCCGAGTTAGAAGGAGTGTGAAAAGCCCACCTCTCGACTCAACGTGTTGCGATTAGGCCACCACCCTGGCGCGGGCTAAGTTGGGGGAGCCTTGAGCCCCAGCAGCTCGTCCTTCTATCTCACTGATATTACCCTCGTCCTGTCTTGTGATGTTATTACAGTGCCATCTTACGATAACGGCCCTTAAATATGATTTACTTCTGTTTGATGAAACATGTCGGGCTCCGCGATGAAAAGACTTAAAAAACATAGAAGCTCCAAAATGAAAATAAGTAAATTTTCAAGACCTTTTCAAGGTAGATAAGAATAATGAGAGACACTTTTATAGGTGGCAGTTTTTTCGTATGGAGACAGCTTTTAGGATTTACAAAAGTGGAAAAAGTTACCCCGGCCGCGCCGGGGTCGGCTGAAAGTTACCCCGGCCACGGCCGGGGTGGCCGGGGTAGGTTCTCCACCCATGGTTGTTGGTAAGCGCTGGGGGGGGAGAGAGAGCAGGATGGGCAAGCTGTGCTGGGTTTCATCTCAATTCTGTTAAACTGAGAGAGGAATGGCCGAAACGAAGTATGACAGTCTGTTCTCGTTTGTCCGTTCGACCTTGTCCGCACGTGAGAATCCATTCCTGAACAGGGGCAGTCGAGGCTGGAGGATCAACTGGGTTTATTGTTTATTGTTTATTGAACACTTAAAAACTCATCCATACAACATGGCTATTCTTGAGTTCGTGTCATAGGAGGTGAAAAAGTAAATACAAGGGGATGGTGACGCAATCAAGCACACATACAAAAAAATACATAGCCCACAAGCACGCATACTTTCTAAAATTGGCCCAGACGCCGTTTCACATTCCTTTTAAAAGCGCCCGGTGGCTGCTCCCTGACAGCGAGAGGCAGGGCATTGAAAGCCGACACAGCACGGTACAAAAATCTCCTTCGGCCGGACTCGGATCTTATCCGTGGAAGAGCGAGGTCTGCGTCCTGCCGTGTGTTGCGCTCTCTCCCCTCTCCTACTGTGGAGAGCTGCTGGGCGATATCCTGAGGAGCGCCGGTCACCAACATGCGCTTGAGTAGGCATAGAGTGTGGTAAGTCTCCAG